TCTATTGGGTGTATTTTTAGCTATAATACATGAGTAAGTACACTTGGAGAAATTTACATACAAGCCCGATTGTATAAAGAGATTGTTGAATCCTCGTCACTTCAGAAAGTCTATTTAAGCTCATTTATCAGCGATTGAGAGGAGAGATCGTTGAATCCACACATGCTTCTTTTTTTTTGCATTTTCCCATCTTTGTGTGTGATAAAGAGAGGGAGAGACAAGAGTGACGCCACATACTTATTGCATCGGCAGTCAAGAGATAGGCCCACCGATAATGCCATTTTTTATTATGTAGTGTAAAGATCATCAAAGAAAAAGAAAGCTATTGATTACTTGACTCACTTGAAGTCTCAGTTCGAGAACAAGCAAATCTGTGGACAATATCCTTGCATATAGTTAGGTATATGGGCCCCTATATGCCCATTGGTATTGACATTATCCATTTATCCATATATTTGCCTTTTAGATATGTGAATGTTAAGCTTCAAGGCCCGAACCAAAGGTGTACGACCCTGCATATAGGGTGATGTAAATTGTAATATGAATTGAAAGTTTTTTAAACTCCTTACGTACCCAATACATATAAATTTTTTTTTGTTTCCAAAATATGAAACTTAAAAGAGAATTTGGCCTTGATTGTGTTAATTCTCTGGTGTATTTATCTAATAAAAAGTCACAATATTATATATATATATATATATATATGAACAATGATATCATGCAACCATTGTATAGTAATATGGTGCAACAACGTTAAAAAACCATCTTATGGCCATTTGTTTGATCCAAAATTTGAAATAGACACTCTTTTCATTCTAATAAACAATCACAAAAAAAGAAAACATTGAATACACAACCTAGAAAGTATTTTTTTAGCCCAATTAACATAGGCCGTGCATTTTGGTGAGATGCTTAGAACTAGGCATTAGAAGGATTTTTTCATTTCCAATTTTTTTGGATGGCTTTATTATCATTGATGGACAATTTTAAAAATGGAAAAAATGATTTTGAGTTTATAAAGGCTAATATCTTGAAATTCACAAAATGAATTGGAGAGGATTCATTTTAACCATATCTAGGGTTCAAATTGAATTTTTTTGGGGGGAAGGATTGATTATTGATATGAAGAGAGTGTGTGTAAAATTTGGGGTCATACAAATACTACAAACATAGTTTTTTAGAAGCGTCATTGCATTATACTATAATACAACCGTTGCATTGGATCGTTGCTCTATGCTCTATATATAGAGTAATGATCCAATGCAACGGATGTATCATAGACCGTTACATTGGATCATTGCTCTATATATAGAGCGATCATTGCTCTCTATATATAGAGCAATGATCCAATGCAATGGTTGTATCATAGAATACTATGACACTTCTAGAAAACAATGTTTGTGGTATTTGTATGACACTAAATTTTGCACACACTCTCTTCATCACAATAATATGGTCAAAATGAGTCATCTCCAAAAACGAATCTATACCATTTATTTTGTGAATTTCAAGATCTTAGCCTTTATAAACTCAAAATAATTTTTTTCTTTGTTAACATTGTTCATCTAATGATAATAAAGCCATCCAAAAAAATTGGAAATGAAAAAATCTTTCTGTGGCCTAGATCTAAGCATCTCATCAAATGAATGAACGGCCTATGTTAATTGAGCTAAAAAAATACTTTCTAAGTTGTATTTTCAATTTCTTCTTTTTTTTGTGATTGTTCATTAGAATGAAAAGAGTATATATTCCAAAATTTGGATCAAACAAATGGCTATAAGATGGTTTTTGAACGTTGTTGCATCATATAACTATACAACAGTTGCATGATATCATTGCTCTTATATATATATATATTTAACACATTTTTGGACAATTGGTCAAATCAATTTTTTCAGATGTTACATTCTCATTTGTTTTGGAGAATTTTTATATATGATTTTTTTTTTGGCTATCTCGGTCCCAAATTGCAGAGGTCGTATCTCGCCTTGTAATCTTTACTTGCAAGCTAAGAAACTATGAGTTCACATTCAGATAAGGAGTTATTTTGGATGGTAAGTAAAACCCCTATTAATAAAAATATGAGTTGACTTAAAAGGACACACCTCATCGTCTTTTGAAAGATACTTATCGTAAAACCCAACCAATTAATAATGGGTCGTTTAGGACACTAGCATATCCAAATCAAGATTTTGCATATCTAGGTTTTGATCGTTTGGGAGTAGTTTTCAAGATCACATCCTGAATATCCACATCTCGAAAACTATTCATATCTAGCATTTGCTCATTTAAAAAAAAAACTAAGAATGTGTAAATGCAAGGTTTTGAGAAAGCTAGCTTTTAGTGGAATATGTGCCTCCTCCCTTTTTCATTCTCCCTCCTCATAATAATGATATTATTCTATAGTTATAATATTTTATATTGGAAAAAGTTTATATAAGGTTGCAACATTAAAATGTAGAAATAGAGATACGTACCAAAAAATTCATTGAAAATATTATTTTAATGTTGAAAAGTGCTCTAATTAATGATCCCGACATCGAGATGTAGGAATATGAAGAAAAAAAAGATTTACATCTTCCTAAAGAGATTTTCAGTCTTAAAAATAGTGCATCTTGCAACACATTATCTAGACCGTCCATTTTCATATGTTTATAGATCTATTTGATTTTAACCATTTTTTAAGTTTAAAATTGTATAATTAGATATAAAAATAGATTTTTAGATAATCCTAAGAATTTTTTACATCAAAATTACAT